CTTGAAGTTTCGACTAGTGACCTTACTCATGATACCATGTTGAGACTATGGGACCGCAGACATCAAGTAATGAACAGGGAATGCAAAAACAAATAAGCTGATTGCATTGATTCAAAATGTTCTATACAGCCACTATTTATATACAAAACTAAAGGTAAAATAAAGACAAATACAAAAATATCCCTCACGAAACTTCAATAGAGGGCAACCTCTCCCTCCTATGAAAACAACAGAAATAGTCAAATAGAGACTAGAGACCTCGTCATTCAAAAACACTTCGACTACCAAACAGCCTAACTTACCCTTAGCATTACAGAACCTTACCCAACATGACTTCATGATTTAGATCTTATGCCTAGATTTAGGATTACCTGTAGTTTTGAGGAGCCTGATGTTCTTCAACAATGCATACTCTTCTTTCCCATTCCTTAATATATTTGATTTTTTGCACAAATTGAACCCATTGTTTGGAAAATTACACAACAATTCAAGGAAATTGAGACCCTAAGAATCTCATATCTTTTTTATTAGAAGACACGCTCCTTTAATATACTTGATGCACGTAAAGGTGCGTGGTCTTTTTTAGACTAACAATAACTGTAGATCCAAACATTTAATTAGATTGAATGAATAAAAGTATACATGCACTTTTTTATCTCTTGGTTTTGTTTCTCTTATATAACTATCTACAAAAATTAGAACTTCTGTATAATTTATTTTCAACTCAATTTGAAAAATGATATCAACACATATAATTACAAAAAATATAATATTTAAGCATGTCATAAAGAGTGTTCATTTTCTCTCCTAGGGTTTTAGATATCTCTATGGTAAGAGTGTTGTCGTGCTTTTAACAGCTATGATGGCTTACGGGTAAAGGTGAGATGGTGTTTGTTAAGTGTCTAAATGGAAGTGGGTGGCAAGTTGTTGAAGGATTGTGGGTGGAAGGAAAATAGAGAAGGGCAGCGGGAGTAGAAGATGCTAACACTCTAAAGATCCTGATTGAAATGATCAATGAACTTCTCTTGGCTTTGAAGTTACGGATGGTTATGGAATCTAAAGTCAAGAACCAACGCTATGCTGACAATGATTCTGATATAAATTTAAAGGGTATGTATGAGACTATAGGATAGAATGATCATTCACAAAGAAAAGGAAGAATAGTGGTTCATCTTTGTTAAGCTTTACATGTCTCTTTGGTGTGTAAAAAAAAAAAAAAAAGCTTTATATGTCTTAAATCCCCTTCTTGTATCTCATCCAGTATCAAATGGACAAATGTCTCTATATAAATAACAAATAGATAGAGAAAAATAGGGTTTCTTGACTTAAATTCTCATAGATTTAGTTTTTAATATTTAAACATTGATACTCTATCAATCAGAGTTGGATCTAATGGAGGGCTTGTCCCTTGCAATGTAACAAACTAAAGTATGAATCTCTATTATAAATTGTGTCCACATTTAGTACTCGACTATATCTCGAATATAATTGCATCAAATAAAAAAACACATGTGAACAATTAGGGAAAAAAAAAAGTGATAGTACCCTCTTGTTCTCCAGATCAGTGTTGCAAATGAGGCTTTACCTAAATTATTGTCTACAAGCATTATAAGCTTATTCTTTTTTAATTAAGCTTAGACGCTAAGGATATATATGAAACTACAGGGTATAATGGAATGAAATGATTATTAATAGAATAAAATGGAATTGAGTAAGATGGAGAGGAACGAAACAAACATTCCATTTTTTATGAGTTTTATTTGAGAAATAAACGGTACTATTTAACGATTATCTAAACTTTATCATAAAATTAATAATTTTAAATTAGTTATAATTATATTTTTTCAGTTTCAAAATGGGAGGAAATGAAATAGTGAGATGGGGTGAGAAGGATTTTGTTACAACGTTAATTTACATTATGTCCCTCCAAATTGGAATGCCAGCCCAAAAAAAAAAAAAAGTTTAGTAGCTAAAGATGACTTAAACCATTCCTAGCCATTCTACCTTCTTTTAAAATATATATATATATATATATAGTAGAATTATAAACAACATCTTGTGACAATATGTGTCTCTAATTATATTATATTTTATTTATTTTTTAATTTTTAATTTGTAAAAATAGATAAAACTACCTTATCCTCAAATATCTTCCCATTTTCTCAACTTCCTAAAAGAGCATAACCGCAAGTAGCTTCTAATGAAGACATGTGTCCTTAATTTTGTTTTGCTCTATTTATTTTTTAATTTTTAATTTTAATAATAAATATAACTACCTTACTTTCAAATGTTTCCTCATTATCCCAATTCCCAACTTCCTGAAAAAATAAAACCGCAAGCAATATTTGATGACAACACGTGTCTCTTGCTTTGTGTTTACTTTATTTATTTTTTTACTTTAAAATTTTTAAAATAAATAAAACTATCTTATCTCCAAACATCTTCCTATTATCTCAACTTTCTATTTACATATTCATGATTTCAAAATTATAATTTCAAATAATAAATAAAATTTGAAATTCTAATTTTAAAATTAATGAAAAAAATACCCCAACGTTCCATTAACTTATTTATTTACCCTTCCAAGTTTCTAATTTAAAATAATTAAAAAATTATGTACTGCAAGTAGCATCCAACGTCGCCGAGTGCCATTGACTCTAATTTACTTTATTTATTTTTTAATTTTAAAAAATAAGTAAAACTACCTCACCCTCCAAATATTTATATATTATCTCAACTTCTCATTAACTTATTTTTTTTATAATTCCAAATTTGTACTTCAAAAATAACAAGAAAATTATGAATCGCAAGCAATATCTAATTCTATTTTGCTTTATATATTTTTAAATTTTTAAAAATTAATAAAACTACCTTATCCCAAATATCCTCCTACTATGTCAACTTCCCATTAACTTACTCATAACTTCATATTTAATTTAAAAATAATGAATGAAATTCCTGTTTTTGTTTGTATAAAAAATGAAATTTAAAATTCTAATTTAAAAATAATAAGTAAAATATTTGTATCTAATTTTTTTAAAATATTTTTTTGAAAAGAAAGTGAAAACTCTGGAAGAGTGGAAAATTGAAATCCAACCAAAGATTTTTTGGTAGCCCTCCACATCTTCACTCCCACTATATTTTCTTCACTTTTTCCACCTCTACCTGTTAATTATATCCAAAATTAAATATTGAAACTCCTAAAACCTTTTTTCTATTATAACTTTCGTGCTCACATTTCTTCTTTCTTTTTTTTAGAGCATTCACTCACATTCACATGCATTCTTGCAAAATTTGCAAAATTATCATGTCGTTGGCCTCTAATCAAAGGCTTAGACAAAGTTGTTTTTGATCGCTTCAACAATCACAAAGAATAATTCAAATGAAAGTTATACAATAAAAGCTCTAGATCCACTTGAGCCCTGATAATTATTTATATTTTTTTGTCTAATAATATCTTATCTCTTATTCATTATAATCAGAATATTTTGATTAAATGCATTATAATTTTCTTCTCTTTTGTGTATTTTCATGGCTGAATTATTGAAATTATTTCATTTTCAAAACAAGTATGAGGAAATTATTGATATCCCTTTTATTTTTGCCATTGAATGTCATTTAATCACAACTTTTTAGTATATGTGCAAGGAAAAAAAACATTATGTTACAAAAAAAATGTATTTTACATGCTTTAAATTGTGTGAGTGTAATTTAACTTTAGATGATGTTTGGCATCTTTCATCATGCGTTATGATTATATATATATATATATATATATAGATTCTCATGCTCTTAATTCTCTGATGTATCACAAAAAGTAAAGTTAATGTTAATAGTGAAGTAATAACTTAATATAGAACATATAACAATAGTTAAATGTACTTAAATTAGTAAAGGTTTAATATTTCCAAATTATTTCTTGGCAACTATGATCTTTTGTTCCTTATATTCATTCCTTTTTCATTTCAAGCAAGTTCTTTTAAAACAAATAAAATATAATAATTATTCATAAAATTTAGTGAAAAAAAATTGATATGAAATTAATCTTTGGTGTAAATTAATTTGAACCATTTTCAATTTTTTTAAATTAATACAAGATTAACTATTAAAGATTGCTTTAAATTTAATTGATCTTAATTGTATTATAATTACAAATACAAAAAGTATACCTAAAAATATCATTTGCATCCCAAAGTATTTTATTTAAAATTAATTTGAAACATTATTGTAATATTTATAAATTTTAGTTTGGAATTAGTTTGTGTTTTGTAAATGTCAATAGCTAACCCTAAAAAATTTATTTTCACTAAATAACATCTTATATTATGAATAATTATTAACTATTATTATTATTTATTTTCTTAACACTCCATACGTTGCACGGGCCGCATGCTTGTTTTCACAAACTCCTAGTCATTACACTCTAATCCATGCCATCCAAAGAAAACTTCTCAAAACTACCTTAATTTAAAAAAAAAAAAAACGAATTGATAACCCTATCTATATAAAAGTTGGAAATCACGAAAACCAAGAAAATTTTTAAGCCTGAGAACTATTTTGAATTAAACAATTTTTCATGTTCATTCTTCTCACATTTCCAATCAATAGACGTCACTTTTCCAGCTCAACTCCCATCATTTTTAGAATTGAAGAATAATAAATATGACTTTTTTTTTAAATATCCACAGCGTACCAAAGTCCATGATTGATATATTTCACAAGTTTGAAGTTATCTGTCGCTTTCCTTTTTTCTTTATATAGTAAAATTGGCTTATCAAATATAGGTCTGAGTAACTGAAATTTCTCGTTAAATCGTTGCCTGCCATATGGAAGTTTAGCTCCTGCTTACGCGAAAACTTCAAATGGGTAGCAATATCCATCCGCGTCCTTTTCAGTTTCTGTGCATTGTATGAAATTTGAGTAATCAACCTTATTATTTACTAATGACAAATAGATAATGTGTTCTACTATAAATTCTACTCCTATATTATATATATTTGAAAATCTAGCTACATGTACATTTGACATGATGAAGAGAAAAGGCCAATTGTAATTTACAGTTTCAAATATAGTATATACCCACTTAGGAACACAGAAGAAAAGGCCTGGAAGATGAAAATACAATGACCAAGTGCAAAGTGTTTTAAACCTTTATACAGCCAAAAAAGTAGCTAATCATTTCATCAGTGACCGTCTCTCGAGACAAAGTTCAATCTTCTGGAATTGGTGTCAGTAGTTCCTGAAGAAAACAAAAACCGCTTCATCAGTGGTAGCACAAAATGATCGTACCTCAGAGAACCCAAAATGGCCATTACATACCTCAGAAGATCTGACAATCCTTTCCCACTTAGGATCATGTGTTGCTGTATTGGTAATTCGACAACATGCTGGAATTTTAGCAATGGCATTACTTGAGGAAATGATAGGTAAAGTTCGTTTGAGCCATGAATCTGATGGAGCTTTCGGTGAAAGAAGAGAAAAAGAAAGCCTCAAATTGATCTCATCTTGATTGCCTAGTCTCTTTTGACATTGATTTTCTAGGTCAGTTCTTCCATCACTCACCCTTTTTGAACATTCTTGATCAGTTGAACGAGCAGCAACTAGGCTCTTTAAATCAACCTCTACGTCGCCAGCCAATCTCGACCCTCTCCATGATGCAGGATTCTGAACTGGACCATCAAAATTTTCCTGATTCCTGATCACTAAATTATCTGATAGTGTTTTGCTGCATTGAGCCACTTGTGGATTTGAGATCGCTGAATTCTTAGCCGAGTCGATTTCGTGCTCTAATGGCTCTGTTGAGCTCTGCTTTTCTAGCTCTAATTTATTGGAATGATTTGTGACATGCATTTGTACATCGTTACTGGATCTACAAGGACAACAGTTAAAAGGCAAATCAAGAGATTCTGAAATTTTAGGATCGATGGAAATTTTCTTACAATTGCCACTATCTTTAATTGAAGTTTTAAAAGGATCCCATGTATGATTGGTTTGACCTTTCATTGCAGAAGAAGAAGAATTTGAATGTAACTTATCTTTATGCACATAATCTATATACAGAGTTTTCTCAACCACAGGGCTTGCACATCTAAAACCACATTGAGTACTCTCAAAGGCTGATAATTTGCTGCTACCTCTTCTTTGTTGATCAATACCATTTTTCACTTTTTCTTCTCCAAAGCCAAATTTGGAATATACTGATTTCTTCTCTTTATTAGAAGTTATAGCATGCTGCAATACAACAAAGGTAAATAACAGATAACAACAACTCTACCCGAAGCAATGACAAAAGAGAAAGACAAGCAAGTTGAGAAAATACCTCTTTTCTAGCTCCACTATGAGTAGTGCTTGACTTGGCCTGCATTCCATGAGCTGCAGAACTTAGCACCCTATCCTTCATTCTCAACTCAGGTAAAGGATTCCAAAAGCAGAATCCAGGAAATAGCCTGCAAACTTTGGTTGCATGGTTTTCAGATCCAACACTTTCATTGTCGTCATCTTCATTCTCACTTTCCCCTCACCAAAATCTTGTGCATAATGTGACAGAACTATTTGCCTGAGCGGACTGTACCTCTGTCTGCTTACTACTTTCTTAACCTGCCGTGGTTCTTCCTCTGCAACAGGTGGCTTCCTTGAGGTATATTGAAGTGATCCAGAAGCCATTGCCTTTGCTGCAGGCAAAAACCGACCAATCATGAAGTTGCGTGCCTGTTGATCACCAGAAAAGCTTCCAGAGGGCTGTATTTCTTGATCATCCAACCCACTCAAGCCACTGGCACTGCAGTTCATGAAGAATGATTCAGTTGTGGAAAGTGTATCAAGTGCATCCTGATAGGCCTCATCTCCATCATCTGAATTAGAACTATCCTTTTCCTGGATTGCCTCTTTTAGAATCTTATGTTTTGTTGCACTCTTAGAAACAGTACTTCGTTTAGGAATTTGATCAGAATCTTGATGTTTAACTCTTGAAGCCCTCCCAGGAGGAAGATTTGGAGCAAGAGGAGGCTGTTCAACACCAAATGTTGGTAATTTTCCTTCATTCTTGGGTCTTCCAGGAGTCTGCTCCCATATGAAAGGAACAGCTCCAGGATGGCTCAATGGACCTGATTTCAAATCTGATTTACAAGTAGGAAGAGGAGGTAATCTTGCTGATGAATTGCTGCTGGTGGTTTTGCTTTTCTTATCAGTTTCAGAGGCCACTTTCGGTGAGAACCTCCTCGCTGATAAAAATGGCTGATTAAAATCTAACTGCTTTTCTTCCATTAGATTTGTTTGATGTCATGCAATTGCATTTCTGCAAAACACCACAATCAAATCACATTGAAACTCAAATAAAATGAAGATTGGGGGGAAACCAAATGTTCTACAACATGGAAAATGTCAGTTATTTATCTGTTGATGTGTACCATATGGAACAGAACCAATGAAAGGAGGATCATCAAGTCAAGGCAAGGCAATTTATATTCATCAAGCATGTGATTAGGACATGTATAATAACTAAGCTGACTCTTTAATAGAAATTTTCAAAATTGCTCAAAAGGATTTTCCTATATTTTGAGTTCAATCTCCTACCTTCCTAGATTTTGAACTTTCTGGATTATAGGCTAGTCAGAGAAGCATATAATTAGACTGCATACATGGAATTGGAGATGGGAAATATGCATCTATTAGAACCAGAGTCCTTCAAGTCGGTTGATTAGCTTGCGCAGTAGAAATTTATGAGAAAGCTAATGAAACACAGACCAAATAACAAATTGGCCCAATGAGATATAAGTTCAGTGTTTTGAATTGCGTGCATATCATCAAACATCAAGAGAAGAGATATCAAAGACAGAAGATATCCCATTTAGAAGCCACTTCAATATGTTAATCCCCAGCTTCATCGTACCTTACAGTCAAATAAACCAACCGACATGACTAGAAAAATAGATACATACAAAGGACGGAAAATTTCACCGCCTTTAGTTAGAGCTAAGTAAGACCACCGTTGATCAGAATACTTCATTTAACAAGAAAACGAAGCAAAGAGCAAAAGAAACAAACAAGCCCGATCGTACCATTCATGGGCATTTACAAGACCAAAGAATCACCGACACCCAGAGAGAAGCTAGTGAAAATATAGCGACCCACTAAATTTGTTGCTAAGAAAAACCAGAAAGCAGAGGCGAATTCATATGTGGCACAATAATCTGATGGTAAAGAAGAGGGTCCAGAATGAGAGAAAGAGAAAGAAAGTGACGTTGGGGTTTGATGAAAGGACAAAGCAAACAAGTCCGTACGTACGCGATTGATTACACGGTTGGAGAGGCAATTCCTTGTAGTGTTAAAATTTGAAGAGATAGTGTATTAATAATAAGAGAGAAAATCTGGGTTGAGCTGAAAAGAACTTTTGGGGGATTACATTCATGGGGTGGGCCAATGGATGTGGGATCTTGTGAAGAGGTGGGGGACACTCATACGCCTTGAGGAGCACAGCTCTATGCAGTTACACAGAAATTAATGTGAAAGCGGTATGAATGTGAATGTTGGGTTTACCGCTGTTTTTTGCCTTCGTCCAAAGTGGTCCTTGTTGCTTCATAATTTTCTTCCGAACCGGGTTTGGTACACTTTTTATGAAATTTGATTTGAGTCAAATTATTCTTGGTTTACATGTTTCATATTTATTTCAGATAAGATGATGCATTGAAGTTTGGACACTGACTAATGATTCTAATGGTTTTTTGGCTAGTTGTATATCAACTCTACACTTTTTAGTAAGTAGTTTCAATATATTCCTTCGTTTAATCAGTTAATCCTTCGAATACATTTCTATATACTCCCATCACAAAAATACTATTTTTGGATTATAATATACTCCTTCATTTACAAGTTAATTTTTTCTTGATATTATAAAAAAATAATGTGTACTTTTATTTTTAAACTTGACTTTAAACAATAATATAACTACATTAAATACCTTTATACTAATTAAAAAAATAAAATTAAAAAATAATTTAATTATTACAAAGTATTCTATATTTTGAATTAAAAATTACTTTTAGAATATATTTTATAAATAAGATTGGAGAAAGTGAGTCATTATTAATTAATTTATATTTCCAAACAATTGATTTAAAATATTAACTTTTAAAAAATTTCATATCTTTTTAATCATACCCTTAAGTTGAATAAATATAATATTTAGCTTATTCAATACATATTTGTTAATTACTTTAATGAAAGATGATAAAATAAGAGTATAATTGAATGTGTGCATGTGTGTATTCTATGCCTTATGTCTTCAGGAATCTTAACTTTTTTGCTGATAGTTTAGCTTGGCTATCTCACGTTTTGAATAATAATTTTTATATCTTTAATCACCCTCCATCTCTTACACAAGAAGTAGTGGTTGATGAGAGAAATTCTCTTATAGATCGTGATATTTGTAAACCCTTACCTTAATGTAATCAAGAAGCTTTGTTTATAATTTTTTACAATTATATCCTTCATTCATTTATTACTTATTACTTCAGGCAGCTAAGGATGGATGTTTTAAAGGAGTCAAGTGCTTAAATATGGGCACTTATTTCGCGTAAGGGCAATACTAAAAAGATATAAAATTATTGAGGAAATAAATTGAGGAAATTAAAATTTTATAACTAACAATTTTTTTAGGAGCACAAAGTAGTTGATTGCCCTGTTATTAGACCGGAGGGAGTATACCCTTAGAAATCGAACCACGGAACCACTGCAAAATTCAATGTATAATGTGATTATTGTCTATAGATTAACTTAGTGATAAAAAGTTAAAAAAATATATATCATCCAAAATATGTTAAAGCGTTTTGGATTGCATTAATAGTTGTTTAAAAGGTCTCATTATATTCTATTATAACTTTATTACACGAGTAAATTGAATATTAAGAAATATGCATATTTAAAAAAGTTGGTAAATAACCTTGGAGATTCAAGAATATTGATAATTTGATGGGCTTTTTTACATGGTGCAATTTGAAAAGTTCCTTTTTATTCATAATTCGAGAATAACATTATGGTTTGTCATGATTCTTTTATTTTATATTGATATGTTGATTAAATTAAACAAGCCACTAGGCATAACCGCAGTCCACAGTATGAGACATAGAGTAAGATCTGAAATCAAAGCATAATGAATGATATGAAACTAATTGACATAGACTAAACAAGATACGGTGGTTGTATGATAAGTAAATTAGGCCTTGTAACAAAATCAATTATGCAGATGAAAATGCTATAAATTGAATTAATTAAATGCTATGCACTGATGCACATATCCAATACTGTTGCCTGGCTAAATTCTGAAATACAATTATTGATTGGTAATCAGGAAAATGACCCCAAAAAAAAAAAAACAGAGAGAGAGAGATTAAGTTTGGTTATCAAATGCTGTGGAGGGAGTGATGACACAACATCGCTATCATTGCAATTTTGTATGTGATGCCGTCGGGAACAGATTATCTCTGCAAATACACTTTGTAGAACTTGTTTCTGCCCATACTATTAGGTATTTAATATAAAATAAAATTAAAAATTTTCACATTTATTAAGAAATATTAGTTATAATTTTAAAATTATAAAAAATTATAACCTTCCAATTTTAACCTTCTTTATAATTAATGATTATAATAAATTATTATTTAAAAATTCAAATAACATAATGAATAAGGGATGAAATTAAAAAAAATTAATTATTCTAAATCCATCTTATATTTAAGACAGCATGATGTTGTTTGTTGTTTGTTTTTGTTTTTTTTTTTAGGGTTGTTTGCTTGGTGTTGCTGGTAAGGTGTCAGTGACTTGATGATATACTATAGCATTACAAGATATTTACCAACCAACACTACTTTTTATTAAATTCATCTTCTATATGAGTAAGGTTTCCTACTACAGATAGATTCTCTATCTTCTTTTTTTCTTGGGTTACATTATATTATCATGGATAATAACACAAGTCTATCTTGTCCACGACTTTAGCTTCACTGCTCATCATCTCTAATAAGATTTGGGTTGTTTAAATTTAAGATTTTTAACTTGTATTTAAAAAAATAAGAAGTACCAATTAGAAAATCATCTATATTTTTATATTGTATTTACCAAAATTATAAATTTATAAAAACATTTCCAAAAATTTTTTAAAAAAATTACAACTGAAAAAGTTAAACTCTAAAAGGTCGATATCTCATCACAGATGATGACTCGATGAGGAATATGGTGTTTATCACTCCCATCAACACTAAGCCAATCCTGTTAAAATGGAAATTAAGCATGCAAAAAAAATATTATAATATTATTGTGTGTGTTTGTGTGTTGATGAAATTGCACAAACGTAGCTCTGTTTTTATGATCACTAAATTTTTTTGAGGCCAGTCGATCTTTTTTCTAAGTTTTTTTAAAATTTAAATACACGATTCTCTTATTTTTCACAGTTTGCATCAAAAGATATGTAGTATAGATTTCCCAAGTGTTTTTAAAAAAATGTAAAAATGATTATATGTTTCATTTAAATGAAAAAACTTGTTTCGTTCACTGTTTTCTTAGAACAGTTTGTTCTGAAAATGAGTAAAAAAAAATATCTCATAATAGATTTCACAAAATAGCTATATTTATTTTTGGCCAACCGGATACTTCATCAGTTCATACCATAAAAATACTGAGAAAGACAATACTTAGAATTCTTAAAATAGTTAGACACTGTAATGTAATTTACTGTTTAAATTGACACAACATGAATATTACCAGAGCCGACCTAGGTTATAGCCCATCCATCTTTTTTTAAAAAAAAAAAATATGTCCTATATTTATAATATCTATCTACCAATACTTCATGTCTGAAAAGGTTTTTGAGTTTAGTTGAAAAAGTTTCTAGGTTGTTTTAGATCATATTTATCTATAATGATTTTCGTAGGCGTGACAAGTTTTGCAGCATTTTGAGAGCATGAAGTCAATTTAAGAAGAGTGATTTTATCTGTTTCTAGACTCAAGCATGTTGAGAGAGTGGTAGAAGAATAAAAATTAACGCCAACAAATTATAATAATGCAAGAGAGTGGCTTGGGCTACACTTTCTCTTATTTTATTTATAAAGCAAACCTTTTTTTTTAACTTATTGATAAATTATTTCATGAAATTTTGATTACAAATTTTTCTATTAAATTTTTATTAAATGTTAAAAAATATTATTAAAATATGTATATTTAGTAAAGATAAAATTAATAAATTTTCAAATTTTTAAATAAAATTAATAAGT